TTTCTAACAGTAATAAAAACATAGTTTAAATAGTGGTCTCTCTTTAAAATATAAAGTAACTAATAAGAACTAATATTGCCATTTATGCAGTAAAATGTTCATATCTTGCATGCTTTTCTCTGTTATGCAGTGCTAGAAATTAGTTTGTGAGATGTAGTCGCCATAGCTAATTATTTATTCTAAGTTAGGTGAGATTTCTTGTTTTCAAGTGCCTCAGACTGATGCATAGATACAGACGTTCATACTCTGACGTGGCTGAATCCTGGGGTTGCTCATAATCACAGCAGCTTTTGTTGACTTTCTGTTGAAAGCAATCTTTTGTAAGCGAACAGTTTTCACTGTTTAATGAAGTCCATGTTAAATATGAATTCTAAATCAAAATAGTCTGAGGCCTGATTATGACTTCTGTAAAACAAGTAAAACAAAATACTGGTTTTAGAATATTCCTCCTCTCGGTATTCCTTCGGTATTGTTTTACAGCCCTTGACCGATCTACAGCTCCTTTGTGTATTATTTATGGAGGTTTTTCAGTATAGGCTAATGTATAATGAATATTCTGCCTCTGTATAACAGGACTTACAAAAATATAATTTTTGTAATTTGTTCTTTAAAACACCAAAAGATCAAAACATCTCCAAAATACTGTACATTTGTAGCCTGCATCAAGACAAAGCAAGTCTCGTAATACTGCAGATATTTACCCAGATGTTTATTTGTGCTCTCTGAATTGTTCTGTTGAAGTAACCAGAATTACTTCATGTGTAAAATTAAGTAGAAGACTAAGGCTCTGTGGCGTAGAAATCTCAGACTTCCCATTGATTTCGGTGCCCAGGGGAAAGTTAACAGACTTTGAAGAGATTTTAATTTAGAGAAGCGTTTGGGTGGTAGCTGCAACTTCAGAGATATAAGGCCTGATCCAGAGCTCTATTGAATACAGTGGAGACCACGAGATGAAATTCAGATCTGTGAATGTTCCTGTTTTCTAGAACTCCCAGGCTTGTCGAGTGCTACAGAAATTGCAGACCATTAAGCATCTACAATTTTTTTTCTGTTTTGTTTTTAAATATTGAAATGAGAACTCCCAAGTGATTCATAAAATGTAAATACCTCATCTTTTCTGTATTCTCATTGCTGTTATTAAGTATACACAAGATGTTCAGTACTGTAAAAATAGATAAATTTACTTATGGAAATTCTGAACAGAAATGTTTGCCTTTAAGAACAGTCGCAATGAGTAAATGTCTATTTGCATTTTTTTTTTTTTGCATATGTATGCTGTTTGTTTCAATGCAAACTCTTTTTTGTTTTTATAATCACAGGATTATACCTTGACAATGTACTTTCAGCAAGCATGGAGGGATAAGAGGCTGTCCTATAATGTAATACCTCTAAACCTTACTCTGGACAACAGAGTAGCTGATCAGCTGTGGGTTCCCGATACCTATTTTCTGAATGACAAGAAGTCATTTGTACATGGTGTCACTGTGAAGAACAGAATGATACGTTTGCATCCAGATGGGACAGTCCTTTATGGACTCAGGTCAGTATGAACCATTTCTAAATCTTCTGTCTTTTTATTTTTAGTCTTTTAATCAAGGCTTCAAATTAAAACTCGTTCTTTGCCTTTTTTAATCCTTTTCTTTTGATTGCTGTATTCTATATAACTGATGATATACCAAAAACAGTTTTAACTTAAGTATTCTACGAATGGATATTTTTTTTTTATTATTTTTTTAATATAAAATTTGGAGATAAACTGCCATTTTTAGTACAGTTCAGACACTTGTATTAAGAACAGATAAGACTGTAAATATTATTTTAAATACTCATTCTGGATTAAAAGCCAGTTTTAGAACTGCTTCTTCAAAGGAATTGAAATAAGAAATACAAAATGAAGATTAGAGGAAAAAAGGGAAAATGTATGACAGCTGAATTGATATTTCAACTAACTGATATGTTTTTAAAATATTTTTGATTGAATATTAGATTGGTTTGCATGCTACCCAGATGAATCAGTTTTCTGATTTTCACTAAGGTGAGGTATGACTTGAAATGTTTTTCAGCCTGATGTTGTTATTGTGTTTGACCGTATGGAGAGTGGTGACTGGAGAAATCAACAGGAGAACTTCAAGAGTGAAGTTCTGAAAACTGGGGGAAAATGTCTGTTTAGCAGTGTTTATAGAAAAAATAATTACCGAGAAAGTGATTTAAATATATTATATTCCTGCAAAACATGACTGACTTAATATGGTGTGAGTAGGTAACAAAATAGAAAGAAAGCATTGACTGGGTTAAAAAAAAGAAAATGCTGCAGAACTTAAATCTAGAATGTGTCTCATTTTCATATTGAGAATAAGATAGAATAATAATTTTTGGGAAGACAACTCTTAAAACTTGTCAGTGTATTTCTTTCTTTTTCAGTGAAATTTTTTTGTTGTCTGCCTATAACTATTATGTCAAGAAGCATGCACTTTTAACTTGGTTATTTTCTACCCAGCTGTAAAGGAAAGTGGCACAGTCTTATATGTTTAATTCTGTCACTTGAACAAACCTGGACCATGAGGTTCATATCTAATTAAGATCACCTATTATGAGTCACTGATCTTGATGCCTTTAGTTTTGTTGTTGCAATTTATCATGCGGGTGTTTCTGGAAATACTTACCATGACCTACTTAGATTAAGGAGACAGCTGAGCAAATGTAACGAATCTTGGTATGTATTAATATGTTTCTCTTTAGAGGCTTTTGTTTACAACATGGCTACCTAAATTGGAACTCAAATGCCTAAAACTAAGTCCTAAGCTGTCCTAGGACTTCAGGCTTAACACTTTTGGCATTTGACCTCAATTTTCACACCCAAACCTGAAAACTTCCAGGGTGATAAAGTTTAGCCCATCACTTGTGCCAGGAAGTGCCTTTCTCAGGACAGGTGGCCTCTAGCTCCTAGGTAGAAATCATTCCCCTTGAGACTGGGAGAGACTAGATCAGTGCTCTCACCACTATGCTGGAGTCAGGCTTCAAATGCCTCCTGTCTGGATGATCCCTGGACTCTTGCAGTCTGTGCCAGATGGTGATTCACCTCCAGAAAAGGGGGGTGAAAGTGTGTAAATGTTCACTTAGCAGGTACTTCATGGTTTTGAGGCACTCTCCTAATGTGCAAGATGCCGATTTCATCTTTCATTGTAGAAACTAGAACATCTAGTTCTATCTAGTTATGGCCTCAAGTTGCGCCAGGGGAGGTTTAGATTGGATGTGAGGAAAAATTTCTTTACTGAAAGAGTGGTTAAACATTGGAACAGGCTGCCCAGGGAAGTGGTTGAGTCACCATCCCTGGAGGTATTTAAAAGATGGGTAGATGAGGCGCTTAGGGACGTGGTTTAGTGGGCATGGTGGTGTTGGGTTGACGGTTGGACTCGATCTTAGAGGTCTCTTCCAACCTTAATGATTCTATGATTCTATGATCTTCCACTTGGTGGAAAAGATCTGGGCTTTTTCTGGCTCCTTACCTTCCTCTACGTTTAAGGAATAGCACTGCCTCTTATGGCTGACAGATTATTTTTCTACTTAAAAAGTAAATGAAAAAAATAAAGGACTGTGATAGCTACTAAAAGGAATTAAAATAACTAGCTACATCTGGTACATAGCAGAAGTATGCCTTCTTGAAGTACTTTCTACAGTAGGAAAGTATGTAAGTGAATTTAAGAGCAGCAGCATAGCAATTTTTATGAAACATGAGCCAAGGTAGAGAGTTTTGTTAAAACATGCAAAAATAATATCTTTTTTTTTTTCAGAAACTGAAACTATGTATTTCATTGGTAGATCTGTAACACAGACCAGATATCTCTTATGAACTGTAGAGAAACATTGTGCCACATATAACTAAATGAAATTCATTTGATTTACAGATTCTGCTCTTTTGTGCTGGTTATTATATTTACCAACTTATATTGTGTCCAGTTGTGTTTTCTGAGTGAGAGCACTTCAGGCTTTGGCACTGTGGCTGGGAGCAAGTCTGGAGTTTTTGTTATTGTTCGATGAAACAACAGATACTTTGTTTCTAAAATGGTGAAACTTTTTATTTACAGTAAAGTGAAATATAAAACAACTACTGAACACACATTTGCATTAACGGAGTGAGAGCAATAAGAGCCTAACAAAGGTTTTGGTATAGTTTTCCGTTTAAGACTCTGAAATCATCATGTTTATTATTATTTTTTCCTGAATAATTATGAAATAAATATCAAGTTTAATGTTTTCAATAATTCTGACTTTTTATTGCTACTTGTGACAAGTCATTTTCATTCTGACTGCTTAACAGTCCATAATAATTTCTATTTTTTTAAATGTTTGTAAACAGTAAGTAATGTTCACAAAAAAATGTTCTATAGAAGAACCAAGTAAAAGAAAGATTTTTCTTTAGAAACTTTAAAACCATTCATGAAAAATACTTTTTCTAAGGTTTTGATTTTTCTGCTTGTTTCCCAAAAGAAACAAGGTATTGATGGCTTAAAAAAAATTGGCAACTAAAAGCTTAGGTTTACTTTTTTGTTTTTAGCAATTCTGATTTTCACAATTTTTAAGACACTGTACTTTTTTTTTTATATACTTCAGATAACTTTGTCTGAAAATGTTTTGGATAAAATATTCTGGACCACTACAAGAATGAACTTAGTTGTTTTTTTTTAGCTGAATTGGTGTTGGTATTGCTTCATTGTCTTGGGTGAA